GCGTGCCTCGCCGGAGCGAACCGACGCGGTGGCGTTAGCGGGCAGCCGTCTGTGCCGGCGTGGGCTGAAGTCCCCGCACCTGGTGTCTCGGCGGAGGCATAAAACGCGTGTCTCGTGTCCTGACTGCCCGTAAGGGTTATTTTGCTGCTTGGCTGTTTGGGTCGTTGGGGTTTTTTTTGTTTAGGTTGCGGGGTTTGGGTGGGGTGTTTTTGTAAAAGCTGGAGGAACTAGGGCTAGCCTATCAGCCCCCGAAGTGTTAGATGCAGACAAATCCTTCCCAGCGCTGTTTCCTGATCTGTTGAAGGCAATCATGAAGTCTCAAGCAGGAAGGCACTTAGGTGCTGGATTAAACGTGTTTCTTCCCACCCTCATTTCAAGTTTCACATCCTAAATATATCAAGACATCATAGCCCTGCTAGGTTTCCTCTCCAGCCGCCTTTGGGTGGGGGAAGGAGAAAATGGGGCAGGCCATAAACTTAATGGATGTGGTTTTAACAAACAAAATCCCCACACCTTTAGGCCGTATTTTACAAGTATAGAAAATAAAATGCATGAACTTATTTGAATGCTTAGCTTGCTTGTTTTTTAAACTTGGCCAGGTGCTCTAGGGTGTCCCTTAAGTCTTCCAAGTAGATTAAGACAGGCTCAGATGGAGATGAGCTAGAGAGCGTGCGCGTGGCCCAGAGGAATCAGTTCCTTGAGGATAAAGACAGTTGATCTGTGTTGGGCTTGTTGCTTTGACTTGCTGGTGGGTATTTGCAGTGCAGCATTGGAGAGAGAAGGGGAGGACGGCAGCCTGTTACTTGTATGGAGACTATTCTCACAGGGAGAAGGCTGTACCAAAACCATATTTTAGAGTAGTAGAACAAATCTTAGCTCTGTGCAAAAGTGAATTACCAAATGAGCGTTTGAAATCATATTATTTAATTTTAGAGCAAATTCATCAGCTAAAGCTCAACTGATATGAGACTTTTTACTCAATCTGCTTACGGGGTGCTAACTTCTAAAACTAAAGGAGGAAAGTCAGGACATAGGAACACTTGATTCAGAGAGCAGCCAGCCTTGTTGCTAAGGAGATGACTGTTGTTAACGTGCTGGAAGTGGGTTCAGGCTAACAGAGGAGGCTATTACAGCACCAACAATCTATCTCTGTGGAGAAAAAAAAGCATGTAATGTATTGCATGTGCAACAACTTCCTCCTTCTCTATAAAAGACTCTTAGAAACCAGAAGAATTGGTGAGTTTGGGCTGTGCTACTGAACTGCGGAAGCTGTCAAATGAGCTGCTTAATTTTGTACTGTACAGCTCAAGAATGGCTATTTAATGTTTAAGCCCATTTCTCTTGCTCTTTGCAGCTTTATCTTTCATTGGGCTTTTGGGTGTGTGCTTAGTACATTAAACCAGGAAAGCATTACTGAGACACCTGTTCTTGGGTAAAGGAATACTGAGCACTTAGTATGCTAAACTTGTTGATTCCAGTTTGTATTAAGTGATACTGAGTCAGTGTTAATGTAGTAGCTCTAAGTATTGTCTCTGATACATTATCCTGTTGTCTATTGCTTTGTCATTTCTGATGCATCATATATATTACTTATTCATTTCACAATTCGTGTTTGTACACAGAGTTAGATTGACATCAGTCAGAAAACTTGTGGCATCAAGACTCCTTTTTGTTCATCAAGTGTGTTGAATTGTATTCTGAACTGGAAAACCTCAACTCTGTGAACAGATGTGCTGGTGGTCTTTCAATGTTCATTTCCTGTTACTTTTAATAATGTGTCAACACACCGTTTGGGTTGGGGGTGTTTCTAATTTTAGGCTCTCCTACTCGGTAATGCAGTTCTGCAAACAGGTTTGGCAATTGTCTGCAGTTCTTGTAAGCTGTCCTCTGTATGTTCTTATAGGTAGATAAGTCTTGCTGCTCAGGCACTTCAGCTGTCTTCCTGTAAACTAATGCCATGCTGATGCTCTCACTGTAGGCAGAGAAATGTAGGCACACTCATGTGCATGGTTGTCTTGTTAGGGATGTGAAGAGAGGTGACTGCTAGCTGACAGCTGGGCTGGATGAAGCTCTGAACCTGAGGAGTTCCTCCAGCGAAACTATTTCTTCTGCTTCTGAAGGACAGCATTGCTAGCGTAGTCTATTTTAATTACGTTCTGGTGGCAAAAGATGATCTGCTAGCATAGACCTCGCCAAAGAGTAATACGACGATATCCTAGTGACTATGTAACTCTTGTATAATAGTCCCGAAAACGGACCATGTGGTAGAAAACCCTAAATACAAAATATTATAAGATGCTGATAGTTGAATTGAAATTAAGGAAAGTATATGAATTTGAGGGCCCTTTTCAGATTTCTACCTGACCTTATTTAAGTGAGGACAGAAGTCTGTGTTTTTAAGGTATGCAAAAATTAATCAAATTTAGATTGCATCATAAGTCTGCTGGGATGTCTGTAATGCTTGCTGACCCTTGGGTTTGGAGAACTCTGTGAAGATTACTTGTGGTGCAGTAGAAGAATCAAAGGATCAGCTTATCTTGAAAACAGAAAGGAAAAGGATGAGTATTCAGTTCCTTGCTGCTCTGGGATTCTTAGTCCAAGAGACTAAGTAGAGCACAGTTTATTATAGGGTCTGTTATTACTGCACTGCACCCTGGGGACTTGTGATGTGTTGACGTCATTGGCTGTCATGAGAGTCCCCTTCTGACCAAGTGTGGGAGAGGATCTTGGTGGTGCTCAGCCCTCCTCAGCCTTCTTCAGCTAGGTTTCCACCTGGAATGTAAGATTGCATTTCTGCTCCTGGTCTTCCTTTTCCTTTCTTACTTTACTACCTTCTGTGTGACCAACATTGTTTACATGCATGACCAGGGTAATAACTACAGCAGTAACTGTATATGGGTACATATAGACTGGAACTGGGGTTTTGTGTCTTGTGATGGCAGACATACCCATGTGCTGTGACCTTCTCTGCAGAAGAAACACGAAAAGCTGCATCATCTTTTTTGCTGTTGTCTCATGTTCAAAGAAGTAGGATTAGGTTAATTATGATCACAATGGCACTTAAAGCTTAGAGGGACTTTCCTTCCCAAATGATATTTCCTTTTAGAAGGAACAAGTAAGGTCTTGTTTTAAGTCAGTTGACTTGCAACTTAACTGCTTTAGTTGATAAGAAACGCGCAGCTATCATTGCTATATCAGGCTGTGATTGCTGTATTCAAACAGTTTGAAAAAACTCAGAGGTTTAACTTTCCACATAAATCATAGATAGTCTTTTGTTAGTCATCTTATGTTTGAGGATTCTGCTAGAATGGTCTGAGTTGACGTGGGCATCTTGAACTATCTAGATCTTGTTTAGGTAGCCACTTTATATTTTATTTTTGGAATATAAATAAACCCACTTTTTTTTCTCTAACTAAACAATGAAATATGTTGTCCTTAAATCCAATACATCTCCCTTATTCTTCCCAGTGCACCAGAAGAACTACTGCTGTATTTCTCAAAACATAGTCTATCAACTGAGAAATGGTCAGCAGGTTCACATTAAGCAGTATTTCCAGTTAAGTCAGATATAGGCGTGTAGTAGCTTCCTTTCTTCTTCTTCTTTTCCTATCTGCAGTATTTAGCAGTGGTTTGTTGCTCAGAAAAGTATGAGAATGATCATTTTATGCTATAACGGGTACTCTGGAAGAGGGGGAAGATTACAAAGAATAGAATGAAATGTGCATTCAGACTGTTGTATTGGCCACGTTTAAAGTCAAGGTGCACAGGACATGCTCCAGGATGAAAAACTATGCTAGTGACTGGAACCTGCACATACTGTTCCTCTTTCCACCTTTTCTTGTTGCCTAAGAATCTAGAAATCTGCCAGAGGTGAGTAACTTCAACAGTGTCCAGAGGATGTTGCAACTCGGTACTTAAGGGCATCAAACCCATGCAAGTATGAATATGCAGAAGTGTCTAGGCGTGGGAATGCACTTTTCTTGCTTATTTCCTTTCTGTTAATTCCCCTACTGACAAAAATAGTATGTAAAGCCTCTTAAGTTTGTGTGCCTATCCAATGGCTGCTGACCCAGTGACATTAAAAGCTGCAGCTAATTCTTGTATGTCATCAACTGTATATAAGTCCATAGCTGAACTGCCATCTGTTGTGTTTTAGAGAGATAGGGAATGGTTTTTTGAAAATGATGTTTGAAAGAGAAGACCTTAGTGTAAGTGGTTTAGAAAGACTTTACAAATTACTGTTTGCTCAGCAGGCTAGACCCACGTAAACTAGGGGAGAGCCATAATCCATTACGAACAGCATTACCTTCTCATATTTGTGGTGGCATATCATTGCTGACTAAAACTACTTTCCTGAGGGACCCGGTGAAAAAGTCTTGTTAAGACATGAACTCATACCAGAAACAGTTCAAGAAGCTGTTGGGATCCTTGGTGATTCTAGACACAGTCACCAATAAAAGCTGTGAGGGTTTAGTACTTACAAATCTTCTTCCAAATTGGAGCTGCCTAGTCTTGGTGCCAGTAAACTGGATAATGGTGGCTGAAGAGATGTATGTCATCTGCAGCCTTCACATCTGGCCTCTGACCTTCTTGCAAGACAAGTGTTTGCAGGAAGGAAAGCTGGTTAATACACCTTGCACTTGTTGCCGCAGAACTTCCTTGAGTTCAAAGCAATCATGACAAACTTTTGTTTGCCTTCACTTCTCTCCTTTCTTTGTTCTTTAAAATCCCTGCTCCTTACAATTTGTCCTCTAGTCCTTTGTAACAGATTTATCAACAATGTAATTGCTGATAACCAAAGATGAGACTTCTGTTGAAGGGGAAGAATATTGTGTAAGCAGGGATTACTTTTTCATCATAGCTGGTTATTTTAGGTCACTCGATGGAGCAACTCCTGAACCTGCACATAGCACTTCTGTTAGAAGGCTTCAACTCTTGAGCTGTGCCCATATCTATTAATGCATGACTTGTATCTACTCCAAAAACTCTTTGAACTCAGCTGGAAGCATTAAAAGTTGCCTCTCTAAATACTGTCATTTAGACTTATACCAGCCTGGGGAAAAAAGACATTTAAAAATGTAATAAGGGACAGGGAGTAAAGCATCTGTCTGAGTGAGATGGGTGGATTTGGACAAAGGTCTTTGAAGCTTTCTCCAAATGCAAAGAATAAATAGATGAGTTACCAAACAGTTGATTTTTGCTGACCTGCCACATGCTTAAGATTTTACAGCAAAAGTTGCACCAGATGAATGGGCAGAGAAATCTACATTGCCCTGGTTATGGTTGTGTGAGGCTGCAGATGTTACCTTCTTCTGTTGCTTTTGGTTTTCCTCGCCTGTTTTTTGCTATGTTGCTGAGATGGAACTTAAGAAGCAGTTAGTGCTGACTGTCAGGGGAAGGAAGGTGGATGTAGTGATTTAATATTAACCTGTTGATGATAGCTGCAGACTTCAGAGGTGATGAGCATGAAACTCTGCGATTAGCATGTTAACAGCTGTTGGATGCATCCTCAAAATCATACTTCTGCCTTCACGCTCCCTTCTCTGGCATGGTTCTTTCACCCAAAGGAAGTGAAACATTCAGATCTGCTACATTCTCTTGGGTTACCCCCTCCTTGCAGGGGCAATAAACCCGGTGGGGGGAGAGGGAGCTAAATCTATTTCATTCAGTCCCTCCACTCTGTATGGCAGTGTTAGTCAATAAATACTCTTGGCCTTTAAAAGGAAAACTGCAAAGCAAAATTAAAAGAAATGGGCAAACTCCCTAGTGTGGTGAACAAACCGAGAAGTAAGAGTTTTGTCAGGTCAGAACTCTTCATTCACATCAGGGAATTAAAATTGAGCTCCTGAATCTGGTAATAAGCAGACTTTTTTTATCATTAAACTCAACTACTACTCTTTCTCAAGTGCTCTCATTTGAAACTGTCTGTAAGCTGTGGGTTAACTGGCTAACCAGTATTTTTCACCTAGGCCTAAATAAAATTGCAAGGTAAAGTTGAAGTTTCACACATTTCTGTAAAGGCTGCCGTGTAGGACAAGCTAGTGCTGCTTCAGAGGCTTTTTAGAGCAGACCAATTTAGAAGGACATGCTTTGGTGCCAACTTTCAAAAAAGCTGTAAGTTCTGGAAACTTTGAACTTCTTAAGAGAGTAACTGTTCCTCTGTACCCTGTTTTGAAGGCAGTAAGCCTGTCTCCCAAGGTTATGAAAGCCCCAGAACCCAACATATATATACGCACACATAAATAAATGTTCTAGGAGATGCCTGGGAAGAACGTGTCCAAAAGCAATTTTGATACTTATATTCTCAAGTATGAGAGAATATGAGTGTGAATATCTTGTATATGGATCACATATGTAATGTTACAGGAGACTTAAGACCTCAGAGGATTTGAATCCTAATCATGCTGTGTGGCTGAGTCTCCATGCTGTGTCCCTTATAATTTGAGACTCCCAATTTTATTTGTAACTCTTCCAACTAACTTTCCTGGATGTATACTAGTGGTGTTAAATACGATTGAGGGCAGATTTCTAGGAAGCCATCTTCATTGTCTCAACTTACATTTTACTTGGAAGACTCATCAGCTGCAAACCTCCTTTCCTGTCTGGAGGTAACATACATCATATATAAAGGAGTACATTTTATTGGTTGGTAGAGACTTTTAGCTTCCATTAGCTGTTCTGGACAAAAGCTAGGCTGAGCTGGTTTAGTGAATGTCTGGCACTAGACTATCCTGGTTTATGCCTTTTTCTGGTCTCTAAATCTCATGTGAATGTTTGAAATGCTGTGGAGGAGGAGGAGGAGTTTCTTACAAATTGGGCTATACAGAAATTGTTGTAATGCATTAACACTGATTACAGTGCAGCAAACTTTAGGGCCCTCAGGCTAATAATCAAATCGAATAGCAGGTTTGTCAAGTGGTCTTGTGTTAGACTAGTTCAGGTACTTGTGTACTTCTAAGTGCTATTTTAATAAGCTTTCACAAGAGGGCAGAGTAGAATTTGCTCCAGGAATTGTAGTTGTCTTGAGACTTGCATATATCTAGAAATGAGCCAGCTCAGATTCCTTCGGTGTTAGGACAGCACGGGCTGTATTATTCATGCTGTCCACCTGAATCGCATCCTGTCCTGGGTGCTGTGAGGATCTTCAGTCGCTGCTCCCCAACAGAGAGTCCCAGAAAAAGCCACAGCCTCTCTCAAGTATCCCTCCCCAGTGGGGGGATGCTGGAGTGTGGAGGAGGAGAGGTCTGTCAATGTGCCCCCTGCACCACCACTGCCAATGATTGCTTGTTGGTTGTAGCTAAAACAAATACGTAGATGTTGTTAGCACAAAAAGCTTGTAGTTGTTAGCACAAGCTAATGCTGTGGCAAAGATAAGCAAACTCTTTGTAGGTTGCAAAAATAGTAAAGGAGATACTGCTTGAAAGCAGCAAAGTTTCCTTGCAACTTGTTGGTGTGGTAAAATATGACTAAGCAAGCTGCTTGAAGAGGAAATGTTATATCTCTAGCTTTATGAATCTTTAAGTATGTTGGCCAATTAATTTATTACAGTTATTACAATTATACCCAGGACCATCATCCTTGTTGAAACAGTTTAGAGTCCACAGAGAAAACAAGCTTCCCCCCTGTCGTGTCCCCCGTCCCCTTTCTTTAATAGAGGACAAACTGAGTTAGTTTATATTTTACCTGGAGCATCTCAGAAGTGTAGTTTCAATTCTTTGTTGTACCTCAATACTGTGCATTCCAGTAGTTAGCTAGAAGAGCTGCTTCTGATCTTTTGTCACTCTTTGAAGAGTTTTCTGGCAGGTTATCCCATACAATTCAGTGCTACCTCAATTAATGCAAGTCAATTGACATTTAGCATTATAATAGTCTCTGTATGTGAAGACTTTAACTCTTTTTTTTTTTTTCTTCCTCCTTCAGATTGACCCCAAAGATTACACTTTTTCTGGACTTAAAGACGAAACTGTTGGTCGACTGCCTGGAAAAGTAGCAGGGCAACAATTCGTCATTCAGGACTGTGAGAACTGTAGTATCTACATATTTGACCATTCTGCTACAATCACTATTGATGACTGTGTAAACTGCCAAATCTTTTTAGGACCAATAAAAGGCAGCGTGTTTTTCCGTGACTGCAAAGATTGTAAATGCATAGTGGCCTGCCAACAGTTTCGCACTCGGGACTGCAGAAAGCTGGAGGTATTCTTGTGCTGTGCCACTCAGCCCATTATTGAGTCCTCCACAGGTATGAAATTTGGATGTTTCCAGTACTATTATCCTGAGCTTGCTTTACAATTTAAAGATGCTGGACTGAGTATCTTCAATAACACATGGAGCAACATCCATGACTTTACCCCTGTGTCAGGAGAAAATAATTGGGGTCTTTTGCCTGAGAATGCTGTAGTCCAAGATTATGTTCCTCTGCCCAGCTCTGAGGAGCTGAAAGCTGTCAGAATTTCTACTGATGCTACTAGGAGCATAATACCAATAACTCGAGGGCGGAGACAGAAAAGCAGTGATGAATCGTGTTTGGCCGTGTTTTTTGCTGGTGACTACACAACTGCAAATGCCAGGAAGTTAATTGATGAGGTAAGTGACCTTTGTCTGCATTCAGCTTTTTGAATTTCCACTTGAACTTTCCTCTGGACAGCCTCTGGTACTCCCTGAAGAGAGAAAGCAGAGGCTCTGCTTGTCTACTAACCATACTGATCAACTGCACTGTTAAAACCTTAAAGCGAGGTAAGAGACTGGAGCTCAACTGATCACAGTTGTTTTACAGCTGACATCCTGTGATTAGCACATCTGTCCTCTAATAGTTCAGTATACTTTTCCATCATGGCACAGCAAAGCTATGTTCTGAAGAAAATGTGTAGCTGATTTGATGCACTTGGCCAAATGTAGTGTAAGAGATTGGCAATGCTTGTGAAAGGGATACAGCCAATTAACTTGTTAGCTTATTGCCCCAAAAGTCACAGCTAACAAAACTGTCCTGAAAGTTTTTCCAGTACTAACAGAGACTTTTCAAAAAAAGAACATGTTAAATTGTAGCCTCCCTGCCACCCAGTATTGGAATTTTTTTTCTGGAAGAGGCAGTGAGTGTTTGTCAGGGTTGGTCAGCTGTCTTTCATTACTTAAATAGCTGGTGCTGTCATTTTTATTTTTCTTTTCCCTGTGAAGCAGCAGCTTCCAGGCTTGGCTGAGTTTGGGCTTTCCTGGGGCTAAAATCTGGGAGTGGCTGGCTGCTTTTAGCACCCTGGAGTGCCAGGGATGACAGAGCAGAGCCAGCAACCATGAGCTACAGCTTCTGAGATATCTGCAAAAGCTGCTGATCCTAGTGTATGATCAACAAAACCGATGGAGCTCTTTCCCTGGGGCTTTTAACTGCAAGGAAAGCAAGCTGTAGGGGGTTTCCATGCCCTCCCACTGCCCAGTTGGATTTTTACGGAACTGGAGCTGCTAACAGCTACTTGAGTGAACGGAGATAATGATACTTATGGGTTGTTTTTTTCTGAAGAAGGAATAGCTACAGTAAAGAGGGTAATAGGTGGGTTCTCCTGTGTTAGTAGTTCTTTAGAAATTAAGAGTTAAGATGCTAAAAGATTGGTGAGATTCTGTGGAAATCTTACTGCTCTGTAGCTTAATGGATGCTTTGGAAGTACAAATACAGTTGCTCCTTCTCCACATGCCTTTAGTTTCATATTACATTTGAAGTAAAAAGCTGTGTGTGTTCGAAAGTTTGTAACTATTTTTCCAAAATGGAAAACTTCAGCAGTGGATAGATGAGAGTTTGAGCTAATGCTCGACTGAACTATTGCAGGCTAATGAGAACTAACTGCTTGACTCCAGATGCTGAATGCTTTTAAGTCCCATTAGTTTCAGCTTGTGAGGGATTGGGGAGAAAAAAACACAACCCTGGGCCATAATATAAAACAAAACCATTCACATTTACTCCTCTAGGTGCACTAGGGCAGAGGAGAAAATCTGGATGAATGGAATGAAAATAAACAGAAATGTAGAAAAAGCAAATGGTCTTTCAAAAGAGCAAAAAGGGTCCCTTTGCTCTGTGGCTTAAGGTGAATGGGGAAAATGGGTCTATTCCAGTGTAACCTGGATACTTGAGCTGGACTCTCTGCCTTTAGAAGCATTTTTAACATGAATTCTTTCTCTGTTAACAGATGACTGGTAAAGGCTTTCAGCTGGTACAGACTAAAGAAGTCTTAATGAAGGCAGAGGATGCTCACAGAGTTTTCCAGCAGCGTGCATCAGAATTCATTCCACTGCTTGACAAAGGTGTGTGTGTGGTGTTTTCCTTCTCTTCTTGATACAGTAATCTAGCTATCACTGGAGAGTTCTGGAGAAGAAAGAGGAATGAAGGAGAAATTTGTGTTTCAAGGGCATAGTGTAAAGCCAGTTGAGATGAGTTTTGGAAGCCTCAATGAGGCCTTAAGCCAGCCAAAACGCTTGAAGGCATCGGAAATGAGCTATTCCACGTGTATTTTGTGGCTCTGCCCCCCCTCTAGTGGTCCAACCGCATAGCTCAGGAGCAGTGGCACATGTGGATCTGTCTGGGGTGGTAAAAAGAAGCTCATGCTTTTGGACTACTTCTAACCTATCACGATTGCTGCTCAACCACCTAGATGTTCCGTGTTTCTGTATACATATTTAAGCAAATCAGTATAGATGTGTATAAAGCAGGCAAGCGTTAAATTCCTGTTTATAACTGCTGTACTCTCAGAGTATTTCAAAAGCCTTTTTATTGATCTGACTATAATTGGTTTTTGTCTCTTCCTGCAGAATTACTGACATCTTGCCATCTGTTATATGCTAAAGCTCAGTACACGCTCCCAAACTTAGTAGCAATGTGCAGTTTTTTTCATAGTAACATAAGAGGTCTGTGATGCTCATTGCAAGAATAGGACAGAAGTTATTGTACTTATCAGATGACAGTCTAGTTTAAGGGCTCTTTTGCACCCGTGTGCGAAGAAACAACGTGTTCAGAATGAAACCAGAGAAAGGGGATCTGCAAATAGTGGGTGAGAACAAGTCTAAAAATCAGGCAGTTTGCTATCTTGGGACTGAGGCAAAAGTGCCTGAATGACTCAGTCCTGCTCCAGATGTCTGAAATGGTTCACTATTTGAGCAGTGTAGTCTGACTCACTTCCATGGTGCCCTGCGCTCCTTAGTGTTTTTATGCCATTGCTGCCTTTCAAGAAGTAAAACTGGACTCCTGCCAGAATCTCTGCAAAAATGAGGATGGAATTGCAGATATTTCCTTCTCGGATAACACTGTACTTAGAAGCTATGGTTAAGTGTTTTTAATTCTTTATCCTGCATTATGGCTGCTCAGGCAAAAACCATGAAACACTTCTTGCAAGCTTTGCAATTTCCTATGGGTTGAGAAATCTACTGTTTCAATGCCAAGCTTAAAAGTAGTATTGATTCTAGATGAAACTATCTTCTAGGTCCGGTGGTTGCTTTAGAGTTCAATGGAGATGGTGCTGTGGAAGGATGTCGAAGCATTATAAATGATGTTTTTAGCGGGACCAAGGTAAGCTGGTGTATTGCTTTATTGGCAGAAAATGTTACAGAATGTCTAGGATACTTCATGGTCGAACTGTAGTGTTGACATACCGCACAATCTTTTTAGGTTTCTGAATAGTAAAATCTGAATATCCTTTCGTTGTTGTTGTTTTGGTTTTTTTTGTATTCAAAACTCAAGTTGCTTGTCAGAGACAAGAAAAATTGCCCTAGGAAAGAGAGTACTAAATCCCCATATCCATTGAAAAATAGAAGATTTCCACTTAAAACTGTTATTTCACGTAATAGTAAAAACAAGTTCTATAAATATAGTGGGGAAAAGCTCTGCTCCAAGTCTTATACTGAAGTCTGCTTTGTGATGTCCTAGTCTATTAAACCCTGATGAAGATAATACGGGACTTCAACTTTTTTCAAGGTTTACTTTTGCTGTGTAGGATATTGCAGAATGCCTTTCTTCGAAGGCATTTTTCTTTTTTCTTCTGTCAGCTTGTTTTACTGTAGCTTCTTTACACCACACCTCCTCTTTTCTTGCTGTCCCCATTTCTCTGAATGTCAATGATTTTGAGAAAGTTTCTGGAAACAATTAGAGCACTCCTGGTAACCAGAAAGTGACAAACCCTTTGCCTTCAAGCAGCTGTTCAAAGAAGACTAGAATGTCTTTGAGATATAGTGTCCATACAGCTCCTTGCTGTCTTTCAGTTCCTTTTGAAAGAGTTACTTGGAACTAGACTGCCCAGTTTGCTTTTTTTCTGTTTGCTATTGCACCAGCAAAAACCTGATATGTAGTGGGCCTTAATTTGGCGCTCTGAGTCTGGAGAATATCAAAACTACAGTCTGGGCAGTGTTGTGATATTACAGATTCTTCTTGTGACCCAACAGTCATCACTGCAAATTTTACCATAAAAATGGCCTCTTTAAGCAGGGTCTTACATTGGCTTTTTTTGGTGTGCTTAGCGTATTATTTTTTTTTCATACAGAACAAAGCTGATACTGGGTAGGTAATTCACTGGTTATTCTAGATCTTTTTCTCTATTCAAAGACTGAAGTGATATTAATTATTAGAACAAACAAAATTTTATATTTTCCTCACTGAAATGATTGGTATCTATTATTATAACACTATGAATGCCCTGATCTGAGATGCATCCAGAAACCTCATGCTGTGTACTTCAAGCTGTGAAGTAAGCATTGTTCTTGGAGGTGATCTGTAGTGTTTAGGTTCAGTTCCAAATGTGAAATTACTTACTGCATCTGGATTTAAAACTTCTGTTTACAGCCTGGTTCCATAGTAAAATCTACCTCATTTATTAAATACTTGCTGCACTGAATTAAGAAGCAGAAGTTTGGGCTTCCTGGGAAGTGTATATATATTTATTTAGATAAAATGTAACTCCAAAACTTCTGATAAACACTGGGTTTGTGCATGGATCCCTAGATAATTGGATATCATCAGTATACTTTTTTTAGAAAATGTATTTCTTTCTTGGGATGTAATTTAGAAGCAATTTAGGGAATAATGAACTTCGGACTTATTACTACCAGGAGGTTCAGGAATGCTCTATAAAATGGTTTCACCTCATTGTTGGTGGCCCTTATCGCATTTGAGAGTTGTTATAGTGCTCAGAAAGAATTATAGGTATCCTTGATCAAGAAACAAGGACAAAAGCTCTTAGGAAGACATGTGTTCTGTAAGACTTTGAAGGAGATTAATCTGCTTTTAAGCAGGTGGCTACATTTGCATTTGAAAACCACAGTTAAAAATGATTAAATTAATCTGTTAATAACCTTAATTTCAGCAGGTTTTTGTTTCTGAAATAAATCTAATAAACAACTGTTGATACTCTAGTAAGGGTAGAAAAGTTCTTCAGCAATAGCACCACCAGAGGTTTTTTTGAGTTGTTTGGTGGAAACAACGTGTTAGAAGGAGAGCTCTACCCTATGCACTTAAGCAGACTTCCTATTTGCGTGCACTAGCTACATCTGCACTCTTTACCTCTGACATTCTTTCTAGGTGACCTTCTGCACTTTTTTTGGTGTGCTTTCTAGTATTGTTCCTCTGTCTCATCAGTTATTCATAAAATACTGTGCAAAATGTAAATTGTAATATCCTGGTAGGGAAGGATGCTAAAAGAAGGTATTCAACTGTTGTGACCATGGTACCAATTGCTGTCGCACCAAACAACTGCCACATGATTACCAGATTTTTCTCAAGTCCCTACAAACAGAAGTCTACCATGCATCTAAGCAACAGTCTAGAAAACTACTTGCTTTGTGATGATTTTTTTTTTAAGTGCAAATTTACTGGGCAACAGGATATTGATCTTAAAATGTAGTTTGAGTAAGCCAATTCAAGAAACTGTCGTAGTTTTGCATTCACGTGGTATTCTGAGCTGAAGCAGAAAAGTGGTGACTGTAGGAACATAGTTGTATGGAATAACCCATTCCTACCATCCCAGTGCACTTCAGAATAGCTCAGTTGGCTATGCCAACACTGATGTGCTGAGACAGTGATGATTTCCTCTTGAGGTATAGAAAATATAAGAGAGTAAGAATTAAGTTTAAGTTTTTGAGGCTATCACTTGCATGTTGAGATTGGTGAACAGTCACAACACTGTTACACTGAACTATTTGGGCATTGCCTAAGGCATTGGTAGTTGATTTTCTGAAAGCTTTCAAAGATGACTGTCCTAGAGTTTGGACTTTCACATGCACTGATCAATTTTGCAAAATGCAAATGTAATTGAAGTTATTTAAAATAATCATCTGATGAAGAAGCAAGTAAGTTTTTGAGGGAAATATAGTACAAGGGAGTCTGTCTTACAAACTCTGCCTTTCTGTTAAAGGAAAGCTTAATGGTAGTCTAAGGTTTTTGTGTATTTGTTACCCTCCCACCTCTTCTGGACAGAGTTTGACTTTACCAAGCAAAATACATTTAAATGGATGCTAGCTGAAGCTGTGACCACTGAGTAATCAAGCCCAAAACTTTTTCATTCCTATCAGTGGAAGGCTAGGGTTACTGCAGCTAGTGTGTCTGCTAAGAAGAGGTGATGATAACAAAGGGTGTATGAGGGCTGAGGGAATTCTAGGACTATTCTGTCACACAGTGGAAACCAACAGAGTTGTGCCTCATGAAATGCAAAAATGAAAATAACCATTATGGGCTCTGAATGAGCAAAGACTACTTGAACTTCTTTATTAGTAATGCATAACTATTTCCTCATTTAATAAAACAGGTTTTTGTATCGGAGAGCAAGGCATCAGCAGCTCAAGATGTAGACAATTTCTACAACTTTGCTGACATGCAGATGGGAATGTGAAGTTTAACATGAAGGTGTTCACATATGGTTTGTCTTGGCACTTGGATGTCACTTGGCTTGAATATTGTAGTAATACCTGAGAATTTTTGTCATTTGGTTTTGTATTTCTCATATATCCCTTTTATAAAGCTATTGGTGCTTTTAATACCATATTACCTGAACTGGAGTAAATGGCATAGCTCCCCACATGCGTTGTGTTTGAAACTTATATTTCAACTCCAGAAACGATGGAGGTTTTCTACTAACTTTTTACGGTAATTTCTAAACTTCTGTTGACACTTGAATATTTCTTGTCAACATCTAATGGTAATAAGTATTTGAAAAGTGCAATGCTGATCCAAATTTGATGCAGTAGTAATTGTTATCTTTAACTCGGACACGTTGTTCAGAAAGTGCATTTATGTGAAACTTGCTGTTCAAAACTTTCCCACATGCAAATGTGTCTTTGACTTTTTCTGAAAGGCTAGTCTGAAATTAATTCTCCTTATAGCATGCTTTCAGAAGCAGTGCGTGACTTATAAGTACATCTGGCTTATTCTGCTTCAGCATCTTTTTTGAATAAAGTTGTTCGCAGCAGCATTTGTGCTGAGAGTTGTCATAACAGCATTCTGGTAAGTGAGCACTCGCCAGGCTCTTCTGCTTTGAGGTGAATGCTGAGCATGAGTGTTCTGCTGAAGATGCTCCAAGGTCCACTCAGGGTCTCTGGCGATAGAGTTGCCTCCAGTATTCCCAAGTCATGTATGGGATATACATGATGTTCCCTTGGACTCGGAGCAATTAGTCTCTGGCACCGTTGTTCTTTGCTAGAAGGGACATACAGCAACCAGGAGTCAGAGAAGGGCTCTGATGGCATTAAAAAAGCTCTTCCTCGCTAAACCCCAGGACAAGGGTTTTACACTCAGTAGTAGTACTGAAAATTTGGCTGTAAAGTACTACACACTGCTGTAGGGTTTATTTTGGATTAATTCTAAAAACAGACCGAAGAAGTGCTACTAACATTCTGGGAGATGCATTTGAATAGTGGTCAGTAAGGATGCTTATTGCTATATAGTGCATATTAGAATGCAAATCTATATGGATATTAAACATGATTGATGTATTTTTGCATAGCACATCCTTACTGATTTTTCTACATAAACTTAAAGCTTATGTCCAGGTTTACAAGCCCTCTGTAATACTTGAACAGATTGTGCGTGAAGATACACAAAACCAAATTTCTTAAAGTTGTGGCTTGCCACTTTGTGTAGCTTTTACAATCCATTGAATGGACTGGGGCTGTGTTGAGGTGCTAAAGCAATAATTTCCTCATTATGGTCATCTGTCAAAAGGGAAGATCTTGTGTGTCTTAACTGAAAATGAGTCTCAACTCATCAGTTTCACAGATCTTGAGCTCTAAAAGTGGGTGGCTAAAAACATCGCTTTCTAAATTTTTAGAATTAGCACATGAAAGAATCTGTTCTCCTGAAATTCATAATTCTGTCATGCTCAAGAGATGTTCTGAGCTGTGGTTTTGTTGCTACTAGGCAAATGCTGGCCCTTAGATTAAACTATATATCAAGAATATGTCCTTAGAACCTCTTGTTAAAGTTAGGTATAGATTAAATAAGGAAGAATATCTCCTGAAGTCACTAAACCATTAGTGTACTGGAGGTAAGAAAAATGTCACTTTTCTGAAATGTTTTTATTTGACAAAGTGAAATAAAATCAAGCTGCCACCAGATTCTGACTGGTAGTGGAAATTACCACTATTTGCACTTAGCCAGCCAGGACTTTTTTTTAATATGTGCTAGGAGAGGCTGTGAAAACAGCTAAAAATCATAGATTGGTCTCCAAAGTACTAGTGCAACTCATCAATGAACATTTGCAGGAATTATTCTAGACACGTACAGTAAATGTATTTTTCTGGTATGGACAGTACATTAAAATTGTGTAATGTACTTCAGAACTGTCATCTGTAATTTATCTAAGCAGTGCATATATTGGACTATCTTGGTCTCTAAACTTTTACATATAATATTTCCAAACTTTTATATAATCATGTGTCAGTGTGTATGTTTTTAGTTTATTTTTTGTATCATTAACCTGCTCTGGAAACTAAGTGCTGGATTGATTTTTGTGACTACTTTTGCTGGAGGACAGAATAATTAAGTGAAAATTAACCCAGGCTTGAAACAGTGGAAAAACTTTTCTACATGGTAGGAAAGGGCACTGTTGCCTTTTTTTTTTTTTAAACATTGATAGCCTGCTTACCAACATAAAGAGTTTTTAATTAAAAAAACCCTAAATAATGAAGGAGTTTCTCAATCCAATTATTTATCTTTTGACTTCAATTTCTTGCTAACAGGCATTGAGAACACTTGTAGCCTAAGCATCAGGTATTGTATGTGTTATAGAATGGTATGTGCTTCATGTAGTCTTTGTACATTTGTTTATGTAATTTGTATTGCACTGTGAATGTGATTCATAATAAACATTGAAAATCTAAACTCTGGATTCTGGAAGACTTTTTAAAATAATGAAATTTTGCAAAACATAATTACATTAAGTATAAAACCTGAATTCTGTGTTTAAACAGGGACTTTAAATAGGTACTCGCATCTAATTGAAAATAAGCATTAATTCTGCAGTCATCCACCCTCCAAAAAAGGTGGATTTTTGACAGCAGGGATTTTTCCCTAGAGTCACTGAGGATGTGATTACCTTTATACTGCAGTTTTCCTAGTAAAATATGGAAGAAGGTATTAATATATCAAGCTGTAGAGATACAAGTACAGAGATTCCTGGATGGAGACTGTTAAAGCACTTCTCCCTGACCTGTGTGCACATGTGGCTGTTTCTTTTTGTTTTGTTTTTTTAACTTGTAAAAGTGTTGTGCTTTTTAACTGTGCCTACCTCTTTGGTACTAGATGCATGCTAGTGATGTGCTCACAGCAAAAACAGATTGTGGTGGTTATACTAGTAGAATTGTTCATTTAGAAAGCAATTCCTTTGAATAGCCAATTTAACATCTGAAAACAGGTAAAAACTCCTGAAAACAGGTAAACATTTAATAAATTTCCAAACTCAGCTTTCAACTGGTCAGAAATGAGGATCTTCCAACTAGAGATGGTCTAGGGTAACTTTCATGAAGTGTAAATGTTTGCTAAGAACATGATGTACTGTATCAATATAATTTTCTTTTCAATAGGTAGAGTTAAATTTAAAGAATCAAAGCTTTTGGTTTACACTTAGCTATTATCGTACAATTTTACAGTTTAAAAAAAAATCTTGTACCCCAGTTGTATCTGAATTGCCTAGTAATCTTTTTCTATGTAGTATCTAAGTCATAGCAAAGCTGTCCTAAAGTATTTTCACAATTTTTACCAATTGCATCCTCAAATACTAACATGCAGAAGCTTTGTATCTGTGCCCCAGTTGCTAGGAAGTCACCCGTTTTCTTTTGGCATATCTAATAGTCATGCATAAAATGCATGGATTTAAAAGTAATCCACATACCAGGCTGCACTTACGTAACTGGGACAGTTTGGGTTTTCTTTCAGTTCCAAAAAGCAGCCTGAAACTTTTTATTCAAAATACGTGCTTCAGTCATTCTGACTAATAGGGGCAAAAATTAGTTTTACCAACTTAAGCGTGAGCGACAGTTCTGTAGCTGAATATGTTCTTCTCTTAAATGCTGGCTTTTAAGTGTTTAGGCTTTATTCATACAGCATTCAGCTTTCTGTGCATATTTAAATTAGTGTTGCTGATAATATCTTCTAGAAGGCGTCAATTACCCAGGCTTTTTTCCTAAAGATTTAATAAAAGCTGTTGTGAAATGAATCTTTTAAGACCTAGTAGCAGCCCAGGTGCCTGCCTGAGTAGTTCCTAAACTCTAAGATTTTTGCTATCACATTCCTTTTTGACTCCTTTGGACCTTTTTGCCATTTCTTTTTTGAATTAATGAGTAAGCCTTCTGAAACCATAAGGGTGACAGTGTCATGGTTTAACCTTAGCCAGCAACTAAGCACCATGTAGCTGCTTGCTCACTTCCCCCCACTGGGATTGGGAGAGAATTGGGGAAAAAAAAAAAAAACAAAACCAACTCGTGGATTGAGATAAGAACAGTTTAATAGGACAGAAAGGAAGAAAGTCATAATAATAATAATGAAATAATTGGTATATACAAAACAAGTGATGCACAATGCAATTGCTCACCACTCACTGACCAATGCCCAGTCAGTTCCTGAGGAGCGATCTGCCCCCACCAGCCAACTCCCTCCAGTTTATATACTGGGCATGATGTCACATGGTATGGAATATTCCTTTGGCCAGTTGGCGTCAGCTGTCCTGGCTGTGTCCCCTCCCAACTTCTTGTGCCCCTCCAGCCTTCTTGCTGGCTGGGCAGGAGAAGCTGAAAAATCCTTGACTTGTTGCTAAGTAGTGTTTAGACTAACTGAAAACAACAGTGTGTTATCAACATCATTCTCATACTAAATCCAAAACATAACCCTATACCAGCTACTTGAAAGAAAATTAACTCTATCCCAGCTGAAATCAGGACACACAGGTCTTTGGAGGTCTGCAGGAACAGCTCTTCTAAGGCATGTTTAAACCTGATCTAGAACATCTGAATTCTAGTCCAACAGTATTAAAAGCTGTAAGTGTTGATCATAAGCAAGGTGTCTAGCATGCATGGGTTTGAGTGGGATGGTGCATAGCGGGCTGTAGCACTTCATTAATTTTTGTGCTGTAGTACTGCATTCTTGCTGTGGTATATGTTGGAAGGCAGCTCTGTGGTGGTCCACCCCGTTCCCTGGACATTGCAGAGCTCACAGTACGAGCTGTAGCAGTTTGCTGAGGATAACAATTCCTGAAAAATAATGAGGTGCTGTATTGCCAGCCTGGAAGTTCTTCTTAAAGCTATCTAGTCTGAGCTCTGTCAACACAATCGTATAGGTATGGGAAAACTTTACAAGCATCAAATCTGCTAAAAGCAGGATGTACAGGAGACTTCACCAAATGGCTGGGAGTCACAGTGTGTTAACAGGCCAGACATGAATATCTTGGTGTCCAGTTTGATAGAAGAATGCTTCTTACTGCTTTCATCTCTTCAGAATGCCTGGTTGCCATAAAACTGTTGCTGGTAATGTTTGTGGTCATGCAGTCTTCCTGATGCATATGTAGTCATCACTGGTTCCGAGTAAGAGAAGAAAAGGAGGGGGAAGTGAGAGAAGCTTTTAAAAAAAGCTCTGAAGTTTTCCAAGTACACAAAGAAAAATGTGCAACTGCTCATTCCTTTATTTTTTTTATGCATCTAGTGATAATATCCAGCTACGTACAGTTTCATGGCTAGAGTATCTGAGCACCTTCCCAGAATGTGTTTAGCAATGTGACCAGCATCTGTAAAGCACGAGTCATCCTCTTTCCAGTTGCACAAGGCTTTAAAATTGCCATTGTTGTC